AAAAAAAAAAACCCATTGCAATGAGAGTATATAACAATACTTGTTTTTTTTATAGATCCAGTCTTAAAATTCAATGTGAGAATCAATTGATGTACAAACAAAATGTGGGTTTTTATTATTATTGTTTATTATTGATGAAGAAAAGGAAAGGAGGAGATTAATAGACCCAAAACATTCATCACCCAGTTAAGCTATAAAAAGGGCTTTGCCCACGGGCTGGTGAAGTGAATGACCACCGCTCATTCCACACCCACAGACACAGTGAACAACGTAATCCAAGGCCCTCCTGCCTGGAAAATTGTCCATGAAAGAAAGACAGTCGTTTCTCTTCTGCCGAAAGTACAATGTTCTTTGCACTAATGGATGAAAAGTCCCCAAAAACATCAATCCAATCCTACCCACTGTTTGCACATACCTAATCCCCCTCGTGCGGACGGACATGCACCATTCCGCATTCCCAACGTGTCCCATCTCCAATGTCTCAGCCTCTGGCTTTTGCTTCTTTCCCCACCAAAGACTTTGGAATCAAACTGGGTTTTTCTTTGGTGGTATTGTCATGATTATTATATGTCAAATGTGATAGCTCATGCAAAAACAAAACTTACAGAACACTAGTACCAGTACTGGATTCTATGACGTGGGAAGGAAGTTGCAACAAAATTGCTCAGTCAAATCAATTAAAGGCATGAGCAACAGCAGCATCAGTACTGTTGGCATCAGTTCACACGTCAAAATTCTGCAATACTTGACTGGAGCTAATTCAACCACCATTGCTTGCTTCTCAAAGGAATTGAACAGTTTATTGGTATTAGAAGGAGTTTGAAAACAGACAGTGGGAGATCTGAGAAAATTAAATCAATATAGACCTGTTTGGCGTGACTTGTGAGAGCTTTAGTTTTTTGAGTACTGTTATGAGTGATAAGTTTAAATTTTTATTGGAGGGAAAATAGAATTTTAGCTTTTAGGAAGGTGAGAAAGAAAGTGAAAAGTAAGTAAAAATGGAGTTTATGAAAAGTTTGAATTTGAAGCTTTTGAACTTTTACTGTTTAAGAGCTTTTTGAGGTTAAAAAAATATTTAAAAGTGTAAGTTTTTAAGAGGAAAATTTAAATTTATAAAACATAAATAGTGTCCAAAAGCTGAAGTTACTAGGAGCTGCACCACCCATATATATATATATATATAAAATTAGCTGAGAGACGGAGGGGAATGGTTTTGTATTGGAGGTGGTAGAGAAGGGAACAACTTTTGAAGGAAATTCCCCCGAATTCACCCCTCAAGTAATCGTAGGGATAGATACGTCTCTAAAAATAGTATAAAGATAAATTTTCTTTAAAAATAGTATAAAGATAAATTTTCTTTTGAAATTATAAATTAAGATAAATTATTTATTTTTTTAATATGTGATATTAATTTTATATTAAAAAATACTTATATGATAAACAAAATTATGATATTACATGTTAAAAAATAAATGATTTATTTTAATTTATAATTTTAAAAAATAATTTATTCTTACATTTTTTTTAGTGGTAAATTTGTACTTAAGTCTCCTTTTAGAGATGAATTTGAGGGTTTTGTCACTTTGAACATCTTTTACAATAAGTGAGACAAATTTAGGTGCATGGCATATTTTAGTTTGTAAATTGAAAAAGGCTGTAAGTTGATTGATATATATTTTATTTTAACACATTATATAGTTTGTTTATTAAAAAATTATTTTTTTAGCATAAAATTAGAAATAAATAAATTTTAAAATATAATAATACATACAAAATAAAAAAATAAATTGAATCAATTGTACTTATTTATTTTTTTATATTTAAACTAGATGAGTACTAAAAAAATATATATCAAATTGATTGTGTATCAATAATTTTCTTTTAATTTTATCTGTTCTTATGTAGCTCAAAGAGGTAAGATCTGTAGCTTCATGAGCTGTTTCCATGAATGCAAGTTTTGATGAGAAAATAAATTTTTTTAAAAGAAAAGAGATTAAGGAAATAGTTTCAATTTCCTTAAAAAGTAAGCAATTTAACCCAAAATATCTCGCTGAATTTATGAGAACGATATCACTCTAGTTCTGGCTATCCGTTTCACCATTTGACCATGCACAACATGAGTCTTTAAAATGATCTCTTCCAGTGAATTCTGCATATATACATGCATGCAATTACTTAGTTATGGTTTTTTAGTACATGTATATACATGTTGCCATATGTAGGTTTTTATTCATCCTCTTATATAACCCTCATAGATATTACTATGGTTCACGAAATTACAATATGTTTTGATTAACTTATCATAAATTTTTAAATTTAAATGATTGAATCAGTAATGTCATATATGAGTTATTATATTATTAATCATATGATTTAATAATAAAATTATCTATATATTTATAATCATAAACTTAGAATTCAATTCTTAATTTCTAAATATGAAAAAAAAAAAAAGTGAGAGATTATGTTGTGGGCAGCAAGTTATGTCCACTGAATTATTGTGTCTAAATGGTTAAATTCTAGCAGAAGCAGAAGTACGAACGCTGTTATTCTCACATTTATATCCTTTATAGTAACAGAAAAGAAAGGTAGCGGTGGTACACAAGTTTTCAGAAGTACTATTAATTCAGCACACTTTCATACAGGCATAAACCATATATATAATTGGACTAACTCAGAACCTAATGCAAACCCTAATTAAAGAAAGAACAGAGGAGACAAGATCAAGCAGAGGAATGGAACCAAAGTCATCGCTTCTGGTTCAATCTGGATCATCTACTCCCACACATTTCTAAATCTGCTGAATTTCAAGAAAAAAAAAAGAAAAAGAAAAAAGAAAAAATATAACACATTAACCAAAAACTCAGCTCAGAAACGATTCAGTACTGTTCACACTTCCAGTAAAGCTGTATTGCATTTGCACATTTCGTATATTAAACAACTAAGCAAATATAAAGCGGCAGGTTCTGAGGGTTTTAATTAATTGCACCTTTATTACGCGGAGAAGGAGGCTGATGGGCTTAGCGCGCGCACCAGATAGTAAAATGCACCGTGTTCAAGAGACTGCACCGTCACGCCCCACTCGTTGGTCAGAACTGGCTGACCGGACGAGTTGATCAGCACCGCATCGTCCCCAAACGCCTCCCGAATGTTGAACGGCCCGGCCGCCACCTCGAATGCCACATCGTTGATGAACACTGTCGATCTTGCCGCACTACTGCTTGGCCCCTCCCCAACACCTGCCAAACACATTTAATAAGCAGCACTAGTCAATTAATTTCAAAGAGAAGAACCACCCATGCACACGTCTATCCATACACGGCTTAGAAATTCCTCCCAAAATTACAAATTTATCCTTTGTATTTTCCATCTTTCACAAATACATCCTCCCCTCCCCCTCCCTTCTGATACACAATCAAGTCTTAGTCTATGTTCCTTCAGCATATATATAGGTGTAGAGATATAGTCTCTCAAAGTTAGAGATCTCATATTCGTATCGAATCTTTTTATTTTGAATCTTTATATTTATGCTTGAAAGTGAATCTTGTAAATATACTATAAGAAGATTAGAGGAACAAAAAAGGGGAAATTGATGTGCATGCTTACCTTGAACGTGGTTGATGACTGGTGGAATATTGGAAACATTAGACCTAGTAGCAGAAAGCGGAGGAGCGGTGGTTACGGTGCAACTGAGCTGAAGTTGCATCTTCATTTTCTCTTGATCATCATGCTCTTTCTTTGAAGCAATTATCTCGCTCAGCAGAAGACTAGTGCAGGGTCCGATTGATTGATCAGGAGCGTGGACAACATTGGATAGTTCTGAAAACCCAAACCCTTGGGCATAACCAGCTCCTCCTCCTCCTCCATGTTGGACAGGAAAGAAGAAAGGTTCAGTAGCCAAAAACTCATTAGGGGTTTGGAAAAAGGTCTGGTTTACAGAAGCAGTTGGAGAACCGGAAGCATCAATGATGATATTGGGAGAACTCATCGCGGCAGAGGGAGTTTTGTTAGTAGACACTTTTGAAGATGATGAATTCTCCAATAGAGGTGCAGTAAAAGTGGTGACCGCTGGAGCTTGCGGCTGAATCTGAGAGGTTTGTTGTTTGGAGTTCTGAAGATGACGCAGCTTGTGTTTGCTTCTGGATTTCCTATTCTGGAACCAATAAAAAACATTGGCGTCACCGACTTGGCCGTACTCTTGTAATTGAGCTCGGATTTTCCTTATCTCATCCCTAGGAGGGTTAACCATGCCGGAGTTGAATATGGCTTCCAGGATCCTAATTTGCTCTGGTTTTGGATTCCACCTCGGCTTCGGCTCAGGACTCCTCTCTTCACATCCAGGAACTGTTGCAGAAAAAAAGAAGTCAATTCTTTTTGGGATTTCGGTGGGCTAGCTAGATAGACTAGGCAGTCCTTTTTGATGGCTAAAAATGGCAGATTTTTAGAGAAGAAGACAATAAGAAACAAAAAAAACCATAAATGAAGGTTCTGAATTTCTGCAAAACGCAATCGTGTGAATCCTTACCTGATGTGTAAGGAGCCCTGTGGCAAGCAGGGGTTGACATGAGAGAAGAGTTGATGTCATGCTGCCATTGGTGGTGGTTGCAGGGCTTCGACTTGAACATGCTAGGCCAGTGTCTGTTTGATGAAGCCATGACCAGGACGATGAAGGAATGAGAAAATGAAATCAAAAATAAAAGGAAAATGATTGCCCTTTTTGTTGTTGGCTCTAGTTTTTGGTACTGATCCCTCTCTCTAGCTCTAGGGTAACATAACATCTGATCTCCTCTTCTTATAGTCTCTTCACCTACCCCTGATACGATCAATTTTAATATTCTTAGTTTATTTAGCATTGAATTTAATAATAATAATAATAATAATAATAATGAGATATCGGAGTAAATTATGAAATGGGCAAACCCCACAACAGGAATCCCCTGCCGAAAGGAAAACAAGAAAGGAAATGAAAATAAATGAAAAGGAGGAGGGATTAATTGAAAGTACTCCTCTCCATCCCTGTGTCCTCTCCTTACACAGTTGTTCTTTTTTTTTTTTCATTGAAACTGAAATACCTTCTTCTCTACTCAAAGTGAAACTCAACTTCACCCCCTAGTAGAAGCAAAGGATAGAACAAGAGAATACTCATGCTACTACTTAATTAGAATTTTGATCAGAGATGGCAGAGGAAAGGGTAATAAAGGCTGTGTATATATAGCTTTAGAGAAATGGGTGGTTCTGATCAGCTTGTCTTCTATTATGGGGGATTCTTTTGGTTGCAGGGTATTAAATGGAAGGGGGAGAAATAAGTGTTGGATTATTCTAATGGAAGAGGTCGTTGCAAGAGTAAATAGGGGTGTTTGAAAAGTCAAGAATGCGAAGGAAAGGGCAATGTAGGGTTTGATTGGAATATTGAGATGGTGGGAAGGGGGATAGTAATTGCAACCTAGCAAGTTTTGGTTTATTTTGGGCAAATGTGAGTTGGGTTTTGGATTGACTCGAGAGGGCTTTATTTATTATATACTAAAAATCTATAAATGCATACAAATATATATTTCCTCTCCCCCCACCCCCTCCCAAAAAAAAAAACTGAGTTTTTCCTAATTAAATACCCCCAAAATAGAAGAAGAATGGCTACTACTATAAAAATTTAGTTGTTTTCAATAGCTAGGTTGATGAAGAGATAAAAGACAACTTGTGTGAATAAAAAGAAGTTAAATTCAAGTCATATATATATATATATATAGTTACCAAAAAAATATATATTGGCACTTTTTAGGCTTTTAAGTTCAAGTCATTGCTACAATAAACAAGTTAAATTAGTTCAGTTATAGCTTTCGTTTAAATTGTAATTTAATTCAATGATTGGTTAAATTCAAGTCATACATAATATGTTGATTTGGTTAATTATTACATATTCATTTTTTGTTGACCAATTAAATACAACATATATTCATATTTCTAACCTACATCACTCGCAAGACTAAATCATATTAATTTTAATATAGATTAAAAATCTACTAAATATATATTTTTATTATAAATTTATAATGAAAAAGTAAAAATTAATTTTTAATTTATTAACTATTTAATTAAATTTATCTATTTAAAATTAATACTAAAATTAATGTTAATTTTTTTATACTTTTAATGTATTCTTAATTTATATTCTAAAGATACATATCAAACTAAAAAAAAAGAAGAAAATACATATTAAAAAATTCTTTATTTAATTATAAGAGGGAAGAGGTGAGACTTTATATCGATAGAGTAAATATGGATGAGTGAGTGGAATCACTGCCACCGCATTAGCCACCCTCGTTGCGGTGGGCCGGTGGCTGTGGAAAGAGGGAGTTGGGTGACTTAAGTGTTATGTCAGTATATCACTTTAAAATTTTGTATTTTTATTTTTCTTAAATTAATTAGTTTATGAAAATATTCGCTCTTACTATTAATTTTTCAGTTATTCATGGTTAAAGCCGCATATTTATATTCACATTCACACTCTAAAATGTAATGATACATTATTTTTTATGTAAAAAATGGCATAAGCAACCAAATAGAAATCTCTCTCCTCCCCGTGCAAAGAGGAAGGAGGAGTAATTGTTTGGTCTACGTGGTGTCGGCCCCATTCCGGCATGCAAATTTCACACCCAACTTTGGTACGTGGCATCTCAACTTTCTCAAATTTTCAAACCTCCCCTTTTGCCTTTTTTCCCATCTCTATATCCCCTCCAAACGTTAATAAGTTGATTTTGAATATCTTTCTAAATTTATAAATAAAATTAGGTTTTTTTTTAATAATAAAATATCTTTAAGTTAATATACACGGATTTTGAAATTAATTTTTTTACAATTCAATTAAAAACAAGTTTTTTTAATATTTTTTTTAAACATTTTAATCATGGAATCGACTCGAATCGTTACCCTTGAGAAGAAAAATATGAACCTTACAAGAATGGTTAGAGTTACTTGACCCACAAGAACAGGTTAAAAAAGTTATTTTTATTTAAATTAAAAAATTCATAAAAAGTTAATTCTTTTTGTTAATATCTCTAAAAGATCAAAACTTAATCAATAATAAAATTAAAATTTTAATTCTTGCAGGTGAGAACAGAGTTTTAAAGTTATATATATGGCATGCATGTACAGGGATGAATTTGTAAGAGTGAATGGTTACCATGTTCATTCCATCGTGCAATTAAATGCCATAATTATTAATCCAAGTTCAAATTTGAGGCATAATTCTCTTCCTAACAGTTGCCTTGTTTAAAAGAAGATATGTTGACTTAATGATTTAATAATTTAATATAAATTTTTTTTACTATAATAAAAGTTCGATTCTCCCCACTTACCCTAATAAAAAAAAAGTTGCCCTGTTTCAAAAGCAAAAACAACAGTTGTTTGTGTTTTTCCACCTATAACAGTTGCCCTGTCTCAAAAAAAAAAAAAGTTTGATATTTTTGAATGCTTAAAATATATTTGAGTCAGCTGATGTACTTCAAGAGCAATTTAGGAGCATGCGCCCACATCTTCCGGTGAATTTTAAAAAATTTAAATTTTTTA